CATTCTGTGATTCTATGAAATTTCCCCCAGAAATTCTGGGGGAGGGTATCCAAAGGCAGCTGGAGCCAAGCTAGCTCGGATTCCAGCCGAGCTGTGGGGATGGAGGGGAAGCAGGATGAGCTCTAACCCACCTCTGCTCACCTGCCCTCAGCCTCTGGAGTGGGGCCTTGGGGGAACCAAGTGCCAAGGCCTGGTCCAGGCTCCATCCCAAAACTGAACCCATGGCTTCAACCGATTTTCAGCAACCAAGAACTGTGGAAAGAGCATGGCTCTTTGCAGCTTAGGAACATACCCTTCCTCTATAATGACTAACTTCAATAGAATGTCTGGGCCTTTTAACTGTTCGTTCTTTCCAAAGCAGYGGCCCAAGGAAGGGCTCAGCAGGGCGGGGCCCAGGCAGGGACCAGGTGGGGCAGGGGTGACACCTACCATAGTTTTCGGTGGAGGACACGTAGGTGAGGATGAGGAGGGCGAAGTTCTCGAGCAGGTTGAGCAGCAGGGTGACGTGGCACAGGCGCAGGTAGCGTGGGTGGGGGCAGTGGCAGCTCTGGTAGTGGTTCCAGTAGGCCACGGCCACGAGGACGCGCGGGGCCGAGTGCAGGCCGATGCACAGGCGCCACACGTAGCGCTGCGGGGTCTCGCCCCCGATGGCCGCGCTGATGGACGGCAGGTARTTGGGCACCTGCAGGGACACGGGCTCGTGGGGACAAGCACACAGTGCTGTACTCATCCTCTTCCAGACTCTAAAACTGTCCTTTTTTTCAATTCTAAATGAGTTTATTCCTATTCCCAAAGCCAGGGAATGTACTGTGGCAGTGCCCTGGACTGTGTGTGTCACRGACCCCACACCCTGCTGGGGCCTGCCCAGGGACCTGCTCAGGTTTCTTGCCTTTGCACTTGATCGTGCACAGAATCCCAGAATGGTTTTGGTTGGAAGGACCTTCAAGCCCAGGGACATCTCCCACTGTCCCAGGCTGCTCCCAGCCCCAGTGTCCAGCCTGGCCTTGGGCACTCAAAGGGAYCCAGGGGCAGCCACAGCTTCTCTGGGCACCCTGTGCCAGGGCCTGCCCACCCTCCCAGGGAACAATTCCTGCCCAATATCCCATCTGGCCCTGCCCTCTGGCGCTGGGAAGCCATTCCCCCTTTTCTGGCACTCCAGGCCCTGCTACAGTTCTCCTGCTCGTGTGAGGTGACTCCTACCCTCCATTTCCAGCTCATTYCCAGCTGCTCATCCAGCAGCCTGAAAGCCTGAGGAGAAGCCTGATCTCATCCCATATGGAACTCCAGACTATCCCTCCCCAGACTCCTCTGAACTCCAGCAGATCTGGGGGCAGCAGCTCTGGACCAACCCCTCCATAGGACAATGTATTTCCCTTCAGCTTCCCCACCTTCATCCCTACTGCAATAACCCCCAACATGGCCAGTCCAGACACCAGCCTGACCAGTCTGTCCCTCCCTCAGTCCAAGCACAGCAGCTGTCCTGAGGCATCGCAAGGACAATGAAACAGGGTAGCTTGGTCTGGATTCTCTAACACTTCTGGTGAAAAAGCCCAGGAGAGGAGCCCAGGAGGAGAGAGGAAAGGAGGGAGGAGTCCAGAAAGTAGATAGAAGCCCAAGAGGAGAAAGGAGCCCAACAGGAGGGAGAGGAAGCCAGGAGAGGAGAGACAAGAGCCCAGGGGAAGGGAGAGGAGGCCACGAGGACACAGGAGCTGTCACCCCACCAGCTGCCCCAACCCTACAGTTGTGGATTTTGCCCATGGGACTCTCACCCCACAGTGGGTCGCAGTCGTCTCACGGAAGTTGAAGAGCAGAGACCAGATCACGCAGAAGAGGAACCCAAAAAGGGGGCAGAACACAGTGCCAAGGGCCAGCGTGGTAAAACGCAGCCGGAACAGGATCCCGTCCCGATCCAGCGGCAGCGGGACCTGCAACATCTTGGAAACCTGGAAATAAACCAACAAACARCTCACTGAGGTGCTCTGTCCTGCTCTGGGCTGGTGGACAAGGTGGGGATCAGCCACAGGCCAGGCTCGATGATCCTGGGGAGCATTCCCAAACACAGTGATTCTGTCCAGCCCCGGGCAGGGACGGACATGGGGATCAGCCTCTTACACCCTGTGTGACCCCACAGCCCCACAGCTCGATGACCCTGGGAAGCATTCCCAAACACAGCAATTCTGTCCAGCCCCACACAACCCTGGACAGGGATGGACACGGGGATCAGTCCCTCACACCCTGTGTGACCCACAGCCCCAGGGTGGGCAGCACRGGAAAATCTCATTGTGGAGACACAGGAAGCCAAAGGCTCACAGAGAGCAGGAAGCAGGGGCASAGCAGGGCCCTTCCCTGCAGCCCTCCAGAGGGATCTGGCAGGAAGGGCACGTGAGCTCTGTCCCGCGGGATCCATCCAGATCATTCCCGTGCTCAGGGCAGCACTGACGTAGCCAGGCCACTGCCATCCGTCCCGCCGGGAGCTGCGGCTCCTCCRGCACATCCCAGCACCCACAGCCCATCCTCGCCTCGCTGCACCCGGGGCCAGCACGACAGCACTGCCTGCAGCTGGGCCAGGGCAGGCTSAGGCTGGAGAGCAGGGAAAGGTTCTTCTGTCCCCAGAGGGTGCTGGCACTGCCCAGGCTCCCCAGGGAACGGGCACAGCCCCGAGGCTGCCAGAGCTCCAGGAGCGTTTGGACAGCGCTGCCAGGGATGCACAGGCTGGGATTGCTGGGGGGTCTGGGCAGGGACAGGGGTGGCACTGGGGGTCCCTTCCAGCTCAGGATATTCCAGGATTCCATAAACCCCTAGCTGCAGGATCGGGGCAGCACAAGCCCCACATAACAACGAAGCCAGGGYTTGTCAGGTCGAGGATGGGCACCTGTGGAGCCTGGCAGACCCCCAGAACGGGAGTCCCCCCAGCCCAGGGCTCCCCTCAGCCCCCAGCCCAGGGCTCCGTGTTACGCCCCAAGGGATCAGGCTGGGACGGATCCCACMTCAGCACCCCCCGGCTGCGGGACAAATCCGATTTACGGACAATCCCTCAGCCGTCTGGGCAGGGCCCCAGGGCGGCACAGCCACCCCTCTGCCGGCACCATAAACCCCCGCAACGACGGGACCGAACCACAGCACCGAGGGGCCGCGGAAACCGGAGCTCAGCCCCATGCAGCCTGTGGGGTGGGAGACAGGGAATTATTTGAGGGATAAAAGCAAAGAGAAAGGGCAGCTCCAAAGCGCCAGGACTGGGTGCGGAGGGAGGGTGGTCCCCGGCCGGCCCAGGCTCCCCACCGTGGGACCCCGAGGAGCCCCCGAGCGCTGCCCCACGGGCGGGAGCGGGGATGGCGCCCCTCAGACCCTGTCCCTCCCTGAGGGGGCTCGGCCGCAGCTCCCCGTGCTGTGGGAACACTAAAAGGGTCCAAAAGCAGCAGCCCCCTCTACCCTCTACCTCGGCCTCTACCCTCCCTGACCCCGAGAGCCCTGCCCAAGGAGGGCAAATAAAAGGCAAATATTTTTTATCACGTGTTGAATGGGCCCGACCTGTCTTGCAGAGGAGAGGCTGCACCACCCTGAGACCTTCCCAGGGTACCGACACCCCTTAGAGACCCCCCTGAGACCCTCACCTGGGTACCCCACATTCCCTCGAGATCCCCCTAGCTGTCCCCTACTCAGGATCTCTCTGTGAGTGACCCCTCTGGGTCCCCCACAGCCCCCAAAGACCCTCCTTGGGTCTCGCTCCCCAAACCCCGCGTATCCCACAGTGACGGACCCCCGACAGCCCCCTCACCGCTCAGCCCCCTTCCCGCTGCTCCATGTCCCGGCCCGGCAGCGCCACCTCCGCCTTTTCCGCCTCCACCTCTTCCTCCCTTTCTTCCACCTCTTCCTCCTCTTCCCCCGCCCCCCCACCCCACTGCGGCCCCTTTAAGGGGCGGGGCCAGGCCCTCGCGCCGCGACACACGATTGGTCCTTGTGGGAGAAGCCACGCCCCCTCAAACGCCCCGGATGTCGGGGCGGCGCCGAGACACGGGCCGTTCTGGACCCTTCCGCGGCGCCAAGCCCCGCCCCCTCTGCCGCCTGGCCGGCCAATGGGCTCTCGGTGCGCCGCGCTGCTGTGTCCAATCAGCGTGAGCTCAGGGCGAGAGCGGAGAGCGCGGCCAATGGGAGGTGAGAGCGCAGCGGGCGGGGCCGGGCTCAGGCGGCGCGCGGGGGTGGCCGGGAGTGCGCGCGCGGGCTGTGACGCAGCTGCGGCCCCGTGAGGCGGCGGCGGCACCGCGGGCCTGACCCGGCCCGGCCGCTCCGAGCGGCGCTTCTCAACACCCGCGGTGAGCACTGGGGCCTGGCGAGGCTGCCGTGACTGGCACCCGCGGTGAGCACCGGGGCCTGGCTGCTCTACTCGGCACGGCACGTCTGTCGCGCCTTCGCCAGGCCTTTTGTGCCGGGAGACCGGGTGGTTCCGGTGGGGGGGCGCGGGTAGGCCCCGGGAGGGAGGAAGGGTCGGGGGGAGGTGGAAAGGGCCGTGAGCGGGTGGGATTTCTCGGGGGAAACCCACTCCTCGTGCCCCGGCAGGCTCCGGGGTACCTGCCCGCATTGGGGATTTTTAGGCCTTTTTAGGGGTCCCTGTGCGGGTCCTGTTGGAGATTCCAGGTGTTTTCCTCGGGGGATACGCGGCTCTGGATGCGGGTAACGGCCTGGCTGTCCTCGGGACCGGGGCGGCACCGCAGCACCGCCTCGGGAATCTTGTACTGTTGTGTTGATTAGTTGGGGTTTAAAGTTAGGTTGGTTACACGTGATTTCAAGTTACATTGGTTACGTGTAATTTGAAGTTACTTTGATGACTTGGGTTTCTTTGGGTGGCTTTACGAGGATTTTGTGTTACTGCTGTTAAACTTCAATTAGAACCCTTTGGCGTGGGGAGGACCCTCCTCAGCTGGGGGTGAGGGAGTGGGAGAGGGCTGTTGTGTAAAACCCTCGAGTTTTACTGATTGTCTCCAGCTCTAGAGTTCACAGAGTCCTGGAATCAGTGAGGCTGGAAAAGCTCTCCCAGCCCATGCAGTCCCAGCTGTGCCCGATGCCCACCTTGTCCCCAGCCCAGAGCACTCAGTGCCACCTCCAGCCCTTCCTGGGACACCTCCAGGGATGGGGACTCCAAAGCTCCCTGGGCAGCCCCTGCCAAGGCCTGGGCACCCTTTCCATGGGCAAATTCCTCCTGCTGTCCACCCTGAGCCTCCCCTGGCCCAGCCTGAGGCC